CCCCCCCCCCCGCCGCAAAAAAGCTGTACATGCTGGAGGTTTTCCCCTTTTACTTCACTAATCTCCGTGAATGTAGAGGCAAGACCATAATTAGAGAGTAACAGAAAAGTGAAAACAAGCAAGAAGATACAGACGGCCTCATTATAACATCTACCTGGCTATTACAGTTGGGAACTGCCTTCTCCAACTCAAAACTGATCCTATCACTGCTCAATCTTAAACCAGGCTTCTGAGATAACAGGACATAAGTTGAAGAGTAAATGGGAACATCCACAGTCCAGGGACATATTGGCCAGTTTAGAGCTGTCTCCTAAGTCATCTACTAACCAATCAGATCCAGGACCTTCTCCCTCCAGCAGAGTTTCTGCTATGATTTCTTCCCCAAATCTAATAATACAGTCCTTCCATCCCACCCAGCACTGTTTTTACTGAACTGTGTAACAGTGGACTCATCCAAGTTTACAGGTAGGATTCTGTCATCAACAGATTCTCCTCTAGTTCTCCACTACAACATAATTGTCATTATGAAGCGTGGGTTCCTCACAAAGAAGGAACCAATATCAGGTATTTTACATAAAGCTACATCCCATGTACCCACCCCAACTTCAGAAATTATTTGAGAGAAATGACAAGTTAAATAACACAATAAACCCTTTTATACATCATTTTTGTTTCTACTGCCTAATGAAAAAACTCATTTCTTCCTACTCTTTGATACTGTCCCAGTTTCTATAGTTACTTGAAAGATCTCAAACCTAGCTCAATAATTCAGAATTTAGTTTCCATATCTTTAAAAAAATCAGCCCCCTGATCCTTCTGACATTTAAAGAACAACTATATGCAATACTCTTATTATTTGTATTTTCTATAGCCCAAACTTTTTAATTTAGAAAGCATATCAATGGGCTACTATGTACAACACTGAGGAATAGTGAAATATTCAAAATATTACTAAAAGCTGCTTGCTCTGCCCAATAGTGGGAGATTGATTAGAGAAATTATGACTTATTCAAACAATAGAATTTGATGTAATCATTAAAAAATCATGTGGTTTTGAAGGTACCACCATATACTACAGCAGCCATTGATATTTTCCTACTAATCTGTCCATAACTCTGTAATGTTTGTATTGTTCCTGTGCTAGTTTGTAAATGAATGTATGTTTATTACTATCTGTTACCTATAATAACCATTGAGAATAGTCAATGAATATTCAATTGGTCACTCAAGGATAGCTCTATTTATTTTCTTTAGAAACCACTTTGAAGATACCAAAGTATAGTACAACAACCATTGATAATAACCTACCACTTTTGTCTGTAGCTCACTATTATTTGTCTGTTTTCCTGAGAAACTATCCTGTAGATAACAATATGTAAAACAACCATGATAATTTCCTACCACTTTGTCTGTAATTTGGTAAGCCTCCCTATTACTATGTTATCCCTCTTTTACTCTTTAAAATAAAAAAATAAAAAAATAAAAAATTGTGGTGAAGAACTGATTCATGATTAAATACTGAACAATAAATGTTTAGGATCTGTTAAGAAAAGCAACTTTACAAATTTTAATTTGACCTCAACTTATATATGTAACATACCTACTCATATTATATCCCTGAATGGATATATTACGCATAGAAAAACAATAAGAAGTTACCAAAATGTTGATTATGTCTGGCAGATTATCAAGTTTTTCACGTTTTTATTTTCCTTTATCCCTCCCCCCACTGAAAACATGGATCTTCCTTTCACTTATGACACAAAGTTATTTAAAATTTTTAGAATTCAATCTTTTAAAAACTGACTCTCCCTCAGATAGAAATCTGAAAGGATGTCATGTTAATCTTGCTTGACAAACATTATCCACTCATTTCTCCTGTTAGATCTGTTCCACATTCTACTCCCCAATGATCAAGTGGTGTATTGTACTTCTGTCCTTCCTGCATTCTCTTTGGGCACATACAACTATGACTGCTATGTCCTTTATGTCAGTCCAGGGAAAATTCTCATGATCTGCTGATGCCAATAAACTTTTGTCTCCCCCGCCCACCCCCATCAAGTTCCATTAACATTTCAGAATCCAAAGCAGTATCTTGGAAAGTTTTTCCATATAATTAAAAAGGTTTAGGGAATTAATGCTTTGTGTACAATAAAATATATTCCCAATAACCCTACTTATCCATACAATGGAATATTATTTAACAATAAAAAGGAATGCTGGTATGTGATACATGGATAAACCTTGAAAACATTATGCTAAATGAAAGAAGTCAATCAAAAAACCACATACAGCATTGTATTAGATCATTTATATGAAATACACAGAATGATAAAATTTAGAGGCAGAAAGATTAGTTTTTGCTTAGGGTTGCAAGGCAATGGTTGCATACCATATGTTTTAAAAAATATTCAATTGTATACTTTGAGTGAATTGTATAGTATATGAACTATACACCCACAAAACTGTTTTTTAAAACATTTCTGTATGTTTTCTTAAGCTACCATTAATAAAATACCATTGAAAACAATTCAATGAATTTAAAATAGTTACACAAAATACAATTAATCAGAAATGGTGCCCAGCTATTGCACTCTAGAAAATGTTTCTATAAAGCCCACATTTTCTAAAGTATGCCATCCTTGCTATCAAATAGTTCACTGCAAGTAATTATGACTATCACTGAACATATATAAATACCCTTATAAAAAACAATTTGTTTCTATAGATGATACAAACCGATATATGATATAGCCATGATCTTCTCATTCAATTCAATGTCTCTAAAATTCCTCACTTCTTACTTAGATGAAACACCAGCAAAATATAAATACATGGAAATGACCAGTATTTCTTAAGCTATACCCATTAGGCAAAAAATTGCTTTTTTTAATGATAGTATTTATACTTATTTTTTTATTCATCTTTAGAGGACTTCATAAATATTAACTTGTTAGCAACTCCAATTCTTTAAAATAGGTAATTTCTTTTAAAAATGTAATTACTTATATAAGAAACTGAATATAAAAATACAGAAATAGAGAAATGATGCAATGAGGACTGTACTTTGTGATTTCTTCACCTGGAATGAGACAAATCATCTACTCAGTTGCTATACCAATCTATTTCATATCACAGGTTATCACAAACTCAGTGGTTTAAAATAACACACATTTATTCTTATGGTTCTATAGATCAGAAGCTTGATATTGGTCTCACTGGGCTAACATCAAGGTGCCAGCGAGGCTGCACTCATTTTGGGAGGGCTTAGAGGACTCCTGTTCCTTGCCTTTTGTAAGCCACCCACATTCCTTGCTTCATGGCCCCTCTGTCCTTCACAGCCAGAAGTGGCCAAGTCATTCATATATAACACCCCTATGGCCTCCTCTTTTGGCTCCCTCCTCACTTTTAAGGATCCTATGATTATACTGGGCCCACCCAAGTAATTTAGGATAATTTTCCCATCTCAAGAGTCTTCACTTAATCACATCTTAACTTAATCACTTCTGTAAAGTCCACTGCAATGTAACATGACATATTCACAGCTTCTGGGAACCAGACAGTAACGTCTTTAGGTGCCCATTCTAATACCCACCACAGGTGGCCTTGTCTTCAAAGAAATATGAACACACCTTTTGTAAATTATGGGGTTGTTTTTTGAGCAAGAAGGGTATAACAGCACAGTAATGGGTTTACATGGAGAACATGGAACTTGGAATGAAAAAATTCCTCCTTTCTGTCAGAATTTTATTATTCTTACTGGCATTCTATTTTCAGGATGAACCCTAATTTGACACGGAATAATAAAATGACCTGGCATTCAACACCATGGCAGGAAACAGAATTCATTACCCAAATGAACCTGTCCATTTGTTTTCTGTCTTCTGTCTTTATTTTGACTGTGCTGGGGATCGAATTCAGGGCCATGCACACACTAGGCAAGTGCTGTCACTACTAAGCTATATATCCAGCCCAAATCTGTCAATTTTTAAATCGAATAGAAACCACAAGAGCTGTTTTTGTACCATCACACTGTCTGCATAGCACTAAAGAACTCCCATAGTGTACAGCACCACAGCCTACACACAATTTTGCATTACTTCAAACTGACAGAGTAGTAGCTGGGAGAAGTAACTGGAAGACACTAATCATGAGGTTTTACAAACTTTTAGGCCAAAATATCCAAAAAATCAGTATACATGTATCTGTGGCAAAGAAATCAAAATTCTCCTTTGACAGTCCAAAATCAAAAATAAGCATCACCATGTTTTAAGACTTAAGGCCCAAGTGCTGTTTTCTTATCTTTTTCAGTTTAGCTTGATACCTTTTTTGACTCCAAGACAGAATAGTGATGTTTGATGTATTCAAGTTATAGCCAGCATGTACCAATTCTTTGGTTCGACTTTTTAAAGTATTTAGGCTCGAATCTAGAACCCGAGGACTTTCAATTATTTGTGAAATACTAATTTTTTCTGTTATGAGGTAATCTATTTTATCATTAAACTTTTTCTCTGCCAAGAAGATCATGTCTGGATAGCTTAAGACAAACTTGTGTACCTCTTCTTCAGTACACCCAAAAGAAAAAAGCTTCTCTTTGATATTTGTGTAGTTTCTTTTGACACAGTCATTGGAAAGGTCTAGGATTCCAGCTCCTGAACCACGTATCAGAACCAGTAGTTCATCCTTGTTCAAGGTGAAAGTTGACTGTAAAAATTCAATGTTAGCTTTCACTCGCTTGGTGCTCTGAATTAAGATGAAAGGGTTTTTGAAAATAATCTTTCTGACAAAATCTGTGGGGTCATTATAACCCAAAGACAAACAGACTTCGTGCAAAAATTCAACCATGTGCTTATTCAGATCAAGACTATTGGAGAAGGTACGAGGGGCATTGGTCAGTAATCGACAAAGGCATTCATGGGTCAATCCAACTGAACAGAGGAAATTTATATTTTTCTCCAGGTCTTCATTGTTGCTGGACCGAAAAAAGGATTCAGGAGAACGTTCCAGAATATTTACAATTTCAAGGTCTGATGTGATAATCTTTCTCCATAGATCCCACCGTTTTGAAAGACTTTCAGTAGTCCGTGTTATGGCTCGTGGATATCTTGATATGATACTAGCAATCACTTCTTTGCTAGCTCCTTTGGACTGAAGGAAAATCTGCAGGTCCTGTTCATTAGTGAACATCCTATTAAACACTCCAGGCTGTCGTTTCTTAGCCATATCAATATCAACTCCCATAGTAAGTAAGTTGTTCAGCAGGTCTTTATTCTCCGAAGGCTCACTGTCTGCATTATCATGTTTCACACCAAAAAGCCTAAATGAAATGGATCTGAAGAGGATTTCTGTTGAATATTGGATCGTCCAATATCTTGAACCCAAAAGCAAGTTACTTCTCATATGCCAGAGGTTTCTTGATGCCATAACGGTCAGGCAGCCCAGATCTTTCAGAATGCTGCATGAAACAACACACATATAAGTGCCTGTGTTAAATAATTAAATGACCACATTCTGATTCAATAAGCACCCCAGTCGTTTCTATAAGAAAACAACTATTCCTCAACAGAAGCTCACTGTTGCTGTTGGCTACCTGGAGACCCAGGGCTCCTTCCGCTTTTAAAATAACAAATGCAGGATAGCACCATCACTGTCAAAGAATTATTCAGACTTTTCTTTCTTTCTTTTTAATTGACCTTGCCTGCCTTGGGCACCCCAAATCAGTTGGCCCTCTCTATTCCTGCTGTTCCCTCCTGGCTTCCAAACCTTCGGCTTATTCTCAGTAAGTCATACCTTCATTTCTGCCTTGTCTCCCAACTTCCCAGATGTTTGACCTTGCCCTGCCCACAGACAGCAGACTTCTTTGCCTCTAGCCTCCTGTTTTCAAACTCTAAATCTAGCACTGAAAAACAGCACATCAGACTATCTGATTTCCATCTTAAGTATCTTTTCCTAAATTTATTGTACCTTTTAAACCCATGCTAGCATTACAGCCTTAATTCTTATGTTACACAGACCTCTAGTCAACAGTTCCTGATTCCAACCCTCATATTACTCAATTTATCCTACTGTCTCCTTGATTATAATGCAGTAATTCCAAAGAAATTTTCATCTTCAAAATGATCTAGTTGGGAGTCTGGGGATGTAGCTTGGTGGTAGAGCACATGATTAGCATATGTGATCCCAGCACAAGGGTGGGAAGGGGAGGGGAAGGGTGAGCTGGAGACGGGTGGGGAGAATAGAGAAGAGGGGAGGGGAGGAGAGGGGAAGGGAGTGAAGGGAAGGCAAAAGATTTAGTTGGGATATTTAATTTACACAATCCATGACAGGAACTACATTACACAGAGTGGCTCGACCTCCTATGTGCCAGTGATCCTCTTGCCTCAGCCTTCTGAGTAGCTGGGACTACAGGTAAGTGCCACTACACCCAGAGTTACATAAACATAAAAATTTTACTTCTACCCTTCTCCTCTACCCCAACACCATATTAGACAAGACTAATTCAATGATCCCTGCACCCGTACCATGACACAATTCCAGCTTCTGGCAGTAACTAAAATTTTAAGAACTCATTTTCCTGATCATTTAGAAATGAGGCATAAAACACATGATCTTATATAATTATACTCACAAGTCACCACTGAAATGAGCAACTCCATTTATTTTATGAGAAAAGCAATAAAAAAGTGTTCTTCCATGAGTCAGTCTATTAGGTAATTCATTTGTTCCTAAACCAATTATGGTCTGAATCATATAACATGTGGCTTAAAAAAAGAAGACTACTTTCTCTTTGTTAGAATACACAGCTGTGACAAATTTGCTTCCTGATTTCTAATTGCTTAAAACGGGCTCTTAAAGGAAGACATATCCCTTATACCCCTCTCTTTAAGCATAAAATAGAAAATAGAAATGGATGGTTCAAACCCACCACTAACATTCTAGGGCTGAAGATACTGCTTTCAAGATCAATTTCAAAGAAAGCCTCTTTTGCGTCTGTCCTCTTGATTACTACAATTTTAACAAAAATTTGGATTGTGCCCACATGTGGGAACATTCCTGTGGCTCACAGAGACTACAAAGTTTCAAACAATTGGGGAAAGTTTTCCAAACTACACAACCAAGTAACATTCAATTCAAACGCAAAGCATTCACAAAGCAAACAAATATCAAAAACAAAAGCACATTTTAGATTGATCCACATTCTACTGAGCTCCCTCTTCTTCACTTTTCCCTAGTATCACACACTATTCCAAAATTGCATGAATTTAGAAATTAAAAACAAGATCTTCCTCTAACTAATGAAGGCTCTACTTTGTATAGCACGTGTTCCCCTTTTCAGGCTCAAGCATGACCTCTACTGGAAAATGCGACAGAACTTTATGTCAGCTGAGGATCCAACCAGTACTTTTCTAAAGAGGTGTGAAAGACAATCTAATAGGATGTAGGAAAAAAATTGTAAAACTCCATTTTTGTCTTAGTCTGAAAAATTCTACTTTTTACATGTTTTGTAATGTACACAACATAATCATGCCATAAGACATGTATATAACTAATCACTAAATACACATATATTGAATATGCATTGATAACATGTTTGAAAATAATGTAAACAAGTTTGAAGTACTGCTATTCTAGACAACGTACTATCTTGAGATTATTAACTGAACAAACTACAGAGCATCAGACAGTTTACCAATGGTAATTCAAAAATAAGTGAAAATAGGGCAGGGATATAGCTCAGTGGTACACACTTGTCTGACAAGCACAAAGTCCTGAGTTTGATTCTCGGTACCAAAAAAAAAAAAAAGTGAAAATATATGCCAAGATTCTTAACAAGAATAATAAATCTATAAAGGTTTCTCCTGAATCACAAGTAGATTTTGTCTTTGTGTGTAACGTACACAAATATCTTCCACTTAAATTAACATGCGAAAACTGTAACTTGAGAATATTTCATAGAGCCTTAACTAGCCTTCCTGATTAATATCACCATACTAAAAAATCACTCATAATAGAAAACCGAAGTGAATTTTGCCTTCCTCTTCCTCAAGTCCCCATTTATCATATCATGTAAATTCAACTTCTTCAGCATCTCTCCACTCTTTGTTAATCTCAAATTATTGCAATTCTTCACATTCTCTTAACCAGTCTGTACCATCTGCCTACACTGCCTACATAACACCAGAAAATTGCCACCATCCTGGTACTTATAAAACAAAGATATGAGTATGTCCCTCATTTACTGATTAATGTCTTCCTGTAGCTCCAAGAAAATAGAAATCAGAACCTTCAGACTGGCATTTAAAGCCCTCATCACTTGGTTCTAACCATTTCCCAGCAGACCCTTTTCCTTGATCATCCTTCTCCCTAGCAGCATAGCCCTCAAACTTCTGATCCTAAATATTCTTTCCCATTCCAACCTCCTGGTCTTTGCTTAAGCTTCTTCTCCTTTAGAAGAGCCCATCTTCCTGATGCCATCAGGGAACAAGGTCTCACATAAATACCATCTTTCCTCAAATCTTTAATTTAAAATACGTAGTGGAGTCAATCAGTTTTTATAAAACTTATATACACCCTAAGGAATCTAAACCTAAGTATTATTTATCAGAAAAAAAGAGAACTGAAATAGACTTAGAACTGGCAACTAAAATTTGATCTTGATAATACTAAAATGAAAAACTGACCCCCAAAATGGCAGCGCAATCTCAGCTAAATCTAAATCTAAATCTCAGCTAAATCTTTAGCTAAATCAGCTAAATCTAAATCTAAATCTTGGTAAATTTAGATTTACCAACACTAACAATATTGACGGTAAACATATGAGAAACCTCTCAAATACTATTAGTGAAAGGTGCCCCATCACAATTTTAAATGTTCATTATCATTTAACCCAGTCTTTCCACTTACTGGAAATTATCCAAAGGAAATAAATGGTCAAATATAATTTGTTATGAAAGAGGATGCCCATGATAACACTACATGCTAAAGCCATTACCTTAAGGATTAATATTCAAATTTAACACACTGAAAATCTCTGCACTTGTAACCTGTTAAATCTAAGGAATAAAAGTGTATTTATGTTTTCCTCTGCGCCACAACTTTCTTTTTAAAGGACTTTTAACGGAATGATTAATCACTGGCTTTTGGGTAGTATATTTCAGCGGGTATTCTTTCAACACAGCCAGCTAAATAAGAATGGGGACTTTTACAGCAATGGATTTCTCACCTTATTTCTCTTAAGAGGACTTTTCATCCCTCCAGAAAAGCTGAAAAATAGCTGTTTCTAAACAACTCCCATCATAGAAAAGGCAAAATATTATCAGGAATTCCTAACGGGGAATGAAAGGATCGACTCTAGCTAACACTGCATAATATTTTCGTGAGATGCATTATCTCTTACAAACTATACATTTGTCAGTCGTACTGGAAAAAAATAGCAAAAAAATGCCTGCTACGATGTGAAAAATGGAACCACGAATATGAGAATTAAGTGCTTCATACACACTGTCTTATTTAATCCTCCAGGACAATTTAAGAGTTAGAAATTACCCCTAAAATTACAAAATCTGAAACACTGCCGAACTAACTTTTATCTTAGCTGCCGCGTGGAGGATTTGAATCATGTAGGTCTTCGCAAAATCAAAGCCACAGTAATTCCACATCATAAGTTCTTCCCTCCCTGTTCTTCCCCAAACCGCAGTTCTGTAAGAGGCTACGCTGTCTAGCTCAAACATCCCGACCAGCTTTGAAACAAATAAAACAGCACAGGGACACCAAACCCCAACTTCACCCTGAGCACACACTATACCTCCGCTCTCAGAGACGCCTCCCACTTCCGCCTCCGGTATCCTGAGATCGAGGAGCGGAAGTGAAGACAAGTAACTTCCGGCCTCTGGCGACGCTTGTGGTGACGCCATCAACTCGGCGACCCAGGCAGCCATGCCTTGGTCGTCAGTCGCAAGGCGCTGGAGGGCCAGCAGAGGGCGGCAAGAGACCGCTTTGAGTGCAGGGACGCAAAAGACTGGGTGGGGTTTAGAGACCAGGTTCTGGGAGAGCGAGGCGGTTCTGGGAGAGCGAGGCGGTTCTGGGAGAGCGAGGCCAATCTGGCGTTTCCGCGTTACCTTGGCAAGTGGCCAATGACTATTAATAAACCAATTCGGTTTGTCCGCATTCTTCCGCTCAGATTACGCCTAATGATTTGCTGTTGTCACTTCATTTTAAATTGACTTTGTCTTTTGTTGGTTTGTAAAGACAAAGATGGTTCTTTGGGAATTTAAATAACTAATCATCCGTTTATCTAGCAAGTGAAACTGCATACTCCAGTTCCTCCAGGTAAAACACACACCTGAAAAATCTGAAATGGTTTCTTGATGTGCATTTCTAACATTTATTTCTGCATGGGAGGAACCAAACTGTTTTACATTTAGAATGTAAAACAATAACATCGTTTTCAGGAGGTATGAAATTTCGGGCTTTAAGAAGGGCTCTGAGCTCTGGTGGTGCCTAGTGGGAGGATGAGAGAGAGAATATTTCTGCAATGCTTTTTGAAGTGTCACTGATTATAATAAGAGTAAGGATACTATCTTGTGCCTTATGATGTGCTACAGTAGAATCTATATATACCTTGCCTGTATTTTTTTCATTCAATCAATGAATATTGACTGCCTACACATTCTAAGCCCTGTTTTCAAGTTTGTGGATACGTATACAGTGTTTGAAAAATAAGGCAGATCTCCTGCTCTCCTGGACTTTATTTGCAGTAGTCAAATGAATATTTGCTCCTCTATATCCTTCTCCCCTCCCCAGAGCTGATCCAAGGCCCTAATAAATTGGTTTATTAAAGAAAAAGAAAGTGTGGTTGAATAATATTTGAAAGCAGGCACTATTCTTACCACTTTGCCAGTATCAACTCATTTAGTTCTAAAATGTAATATTATCTCCATTTTACAAATAAAGAACCTGAAGTAAAGACAGTGACTGCCTATATTCACATAGGTAGTAAGTAATAGAACTAGCACTGGAATCTAAGAAGTCAGAATATGTGGCCATTATTCCCACACTACCGTATTTCCCTAAAAATCAGACTGGGTCTCAAATTAATTTTTGCTCCAAAAGATGCACTTGGGAAAAGAAAAAAGAAAAAAGATACAATAGGGCTTATTTTCAGACGCTTTTTTTTTCCATATACAAAAATCTATATTTATTCAAATACAGTCCTGTCATCGCCTTCTGGAACATTGTCATAGTGCTCCAAGCCCTGAATTCTGGCCTGAATTTCTTGTGATTCCACTTCCTGTGGATATAATATGGAAAAACATTGTCATGGGGAAGAGATCATTCCTCACAGGAAGTGTGGGTTACAATTACTACAGTGAAGGAAAGGAATTTTGTCTTTTTTTTTTTTTTTTTTTGAGACAGGTTCTCATTATGCAGTTCAGGCTGGCCTTGAACTCACTTTGTAGCCCAGGCTGGCCTCGAACTCACAACAATCCTCCTGCCTCAGCCTCTCAAGTGCTGGGATTACAGGCGTGCACCACCACACCCAGAGAAGAAAGGAAATTTTAAAAAGCAAAAGTATCTTCACTATAACAGCTGAAGAGCCAAAATTAGAAGCAGAATCTTGGATCTTCTAATCATTTTTCCATTTTTCTATTTATTCATTCAACACTGTTTACTGGGCAATCTGTGAGCACCGTATGTAGCTACGAATAAAAGAAGCTTCAGTCAGTGATGGCTTGCATAGCAAAAAGTCTGGAGACAGGAGTTAACTGTTGACATTGTTGAGTAAAAGTTTTGCCCTTTTCGTACCTCTGTGGTAGATTTATTTATCAGAGAGATGGCTCATTCTTTCTCCCATCCTACTGACTCAAGTAAGTGCAAAAACAGATTCTGATAAATTGTAAGTCCCTACTGCCCTTGCTGGGTGTTGGTGGAGAAGACAGTTACTACTTACCAATTAACCACAGAGAACAGAACACAGGCTTCCCAAAGCAAAACAACAAGGAACACAACAGGAGGCTTTGGCTTATTGCCCTCTGGCCTTCCTTCTTGTACTACTAACTCCAGGCTCCATGAGACAAGTAGTGTCCTGCAGATCCCACTTGGAGACTAGCCAGCGAGCCAGACATGAAGCACTGCCTACTTCAGAGCTTTTCCTCATGAAGTGGGTGCTTGACTTTTTCAGTTCTGTGTACATCCTATCCTGAAGATCTCAGTCCTAGGTGTCTATCAGCATTACCAAGGGAGCTTTCTGCACGTCCTGAAGCCTAGCTCTCCATCCCAAGGGATTCTGAGTTAATTGGTTTGACACAAGTCTCACACATTGGTTTGGCTTTGGTTTTTGTTCTAAATTCTACTGTATAGCCAGAATTCAGATGTACTACACCTCTGAAACAGAAGTTGCTTAATTTCTACCTGCTGGTGGAGTGTCAATGATAGATTCTGGGGCTAATTCCATTCTCATCCAGGGAGAATTCAAGGATTCTCAGGCAAGCAGCCCAGCAGCTCAACACTCAAGGGCTTAAACCCACTGTGGCCTGGACTCACAGTTCCCGTAATTAAAGGTTGTTGTTCATGGTGAGTAAGCTCCTGCCTCAAAGGAGTATGAAGGGTAAAAGGGGAAACGGTTGCTCGGCAAAACAGCAGGTATTTTGTGCCTTCCCATTTCGTTCTGCTCCTCATTCCCTGTTCAAACCACCTTAGCAAAGTTGTTCTGCATTAGCAGTGTCCCTTGATGACAACGTAGATAGGAAATTACGGGACCTGTATCTTTTCAGTTATGTCTTATGCTAAGCTGCCAGGAGCTTCTCTTTATTTCATGATACACTTCTCTGTGTGGTACATTAATAATCTCTCAGAGATGCCTCGTCTTTAACCCTCATTTTCTCCCTTTTAACTTGTACCTTGTCAATGCTAGAATCATCTCTCCTTTGAGCCATTTTTCCAAACCCTTTGCATCACATGGTTGTAATCATGCTTAAGTATCAGACTAGCATCAGTGATATGTTTTTGTTTGTTTGTTTTGTTTTTGTTTTTGGTGTTTTTGACACAAGGTCTTGCTATGCAGTTCAGACTGGCCTTGAGCTCACTTTGTAGCCCAGGCTGGCCTCAAACTCTCAATGATCCTCCTGCCTCAGCCTCCCCAGTGCTGGGATTACAGGCATGTGCTACCATGCCTGGCATCAGTGATACGTTTAAACCAAAGAAAAGGAAGACTGTATATTTGCAAAAGTGAAATTTTGACATGAAAATAAAGCACACACTTCAAAATTAGCCCATAAAGTGCTACTGAATACTCTTCCAAATTCCCATAAAAGTCTCTATTCTCCTTATTTCACTTTTTCTTCAGAAACCAACTCTCACTCTGTAACAGTGTGAGCGTTATTTGAAATGAATTTGTTTTCTGTTTTGATATTTGTTCTACAAACATTTTATTTTTACTGTTTTCTTCACAATATTTTGTGAGTGATTCTCAGAATATTTTCACCATCTATAACATTGCTTTAAACGAAAATTTTATTCTGAGTACTACCCTCTGTAGATTTCAGACTGCATGAGTATACCTACCACAATACTAAGCAATAATTAAACTAAAAACTCCACTTTTCCAGCCAGTGTAAGAGAGGACAGCTCAGGTTTGCCAAAGGAAAAACATGAATATAAGGCAGAGTTTAATGACTTGTGTTTTTGTTGATAAGATCAGTGACTTCCAGCCAGGGGTGGTAGTGAACACCTGTAATCCTAGCACTCAAGAGGCGGAGGCAGATGGATTGTCAAGAGTTTGAGGCCAGCCTGCACTACATAGTGAGTTCAAAGCCAGCCTGAACTACATAGCAAGACCCTGTCTCAAAAGACAAGAACAAAACAAAACAAACAAACAAACAAAAAGAATGATGACTTCCCAGCCACCAGTGAGATGGAGGGACATATTCTGATTGGCCAAGCAGAATCTGCTCTATCTGATTCTTTCAATGCCCAGGTAAGTTTAGTGATGAGGCACTGAATTACCATGACAATCTGAGCAAGCAATCCCTACCTTGATACCTAGAACTGATCTCAGAAAAGTATGTTTAAAATTTGGATACTTACCTAAAGATAGTCTTTCCAAAATATGTTCATTTTTGCTGACATTACACATAAACCTAACAGGCAGTGTGACCCTCAGTGATCATTATCGTGTGGGAAAGGAGGAGGAGGAGAAGGAAGAGGAAGAAGAGGAAGATAATTTTCAAATGTTTCAAAGTACAAAAAACATAACATTGTGTCTATTTTACAAGGAAGTACATGTTCGGTAGTGCCCTTGAGGATATCACAATCATGATTTCTGATCTGTACGCATTTTTAGTACATATCTAAATTAAGCATTATGGCACAAGTATCCTAAGATCACTTAATTAATTGCCTGCGTAATCTAAATCCCTACTTAAATTTCTTCCTCAGATATGTTACTCCTACAAACTAAATTATTCATCTCATTGAACTTTCTAAACTAAAAAGGCCGCTTGCTTTCTAGCTAGGGTGCTATTGTGAAAGCAACAAATACTTTTTCTTTTATTAAAAGATAAGGGTCAGGAACCAGC